TGGGTTGTAGCTTTATAACATGATCTCTACAACTTAGAATCCCCACTGGATTAAACTGGAGAACAGCAATGAGAAAAGCTGTGAGAAATGATGCACTGCTTGCTGCAACTTAAAACTTAGTATCCCGCCATATTTGAGAAGCAGCAGGAGCGCTCTAAACCTGAAATTAGAGTGAGGGCCAAAGTTTGAAAATATATTTGCCACATTTGCAGTCAGTCTCTGGTCACCCATCATGGGCCTTGTTAAAAACATTGTCTTGGAGACGTTGCAAATCACCTTCCACTCTTGGCTGCCCCGCTCCCTTTGCTGACCCATAAGGAGCAGTCCAAACACCCTCCCCCTCCACACACCCTTCTCTCCGCCTCCTCAGCCTCAGTGATGACTTGCTGTCACGGAGGGAAAAGGACGGAGCAGTATTAGGAAAACCAAAACCCTATATTTCCTTGTCACTAAGCGCTACTCTTATGAAATGGTGAAACACTGTGAGCTGTTAATCTTTTTCTTCAACTAGGAGAAGAAACAATGGGTTTAAAATTTACCGGGCAGCTTTTCCAAGGATGTACCAAGTTTCTACAGGAGTAATTCCACCCTTCCTCCCTGTCCCCGTTGTTTTCTGGTACAAAGCATTCTTTAAAAAATCTCTAACGTGATTATCTAACAGAAGGCATTTTTGACAATTCTTATTGATTTACCATGGTACAGGCCTTAACAGGCCATCAGCCTGAGCATTATTATCAGCAGAGAGAAGAACAAGCCACAGCTACTGCTGTAGTTTAGAAAAGGTGCTAAAGAAAAAACTCTGTTCCTTCTACTCCATTTAAAAGAGTATACAGTGCAGAAAAATGGCTTATCTACTTAACTATACCTCCCTGTGACAGCACTAAGGTCTTAGGAAAGCTCAAAAATATTAAGCAGCATACGAAGATGAATAAAAGCAACTATGCCTTAGACTGCTGGCTTGCCAAGGCAAAAAGTTCTAGATCCTTAGGTATGAAATTACCCAAAAATATTTTTGTGTGTGTGGTGGAAGAATGAGTTTTAAACACACACACATATTTAACTAGCATTTTTTTAAACTTAAAGCACTAAAAGCAACATGGTTATAAAAATCAAAACGGGCTGGCCCCGTGGTGTAGTGGTTAAGTTCACGCATCCCACTTTGGTGGGCCAGGGTTTGCCAGTTCGGATCCTGGGCACAGACCTACTCACCCCTCATCAAGCCATGCTGAGGTGGTGTCCCATATAGAAGAGCTACAACTCTACAACGATGATATACAACTATGCACTGGGGCTCTGAGGAGAAAAAAAAAGAACAAAGAGGAAGATTGGAAGAGGAAGATTGGCAACAGATGTTAGCGCAGGGCCAATCTCCCTCAAGAAAAAAAATCAGTCAGTGGATAAAATATTTAAAAAAATCAAAACAGTGTATAGGAATATAAAGTGGAAAGGAAAAGTTTCTACCCTCCATCTTGCATTCCCGACTCCTGCTGCTGCGACGCCCCCCTCCATTTCCATTTCTCAGAGGTAACCACACTTCCTTGTGTTTTGTTTCAGAAATGTTCTGGGCTTATACAAACAATCTCTCTCCTATTCTCCCCTTTTAAAAAGCCGATGGGGTACTATAAAATACTATTCTGCAACTTGGACTTTCTCTATTTAATGCTATACCTTGGATATTTTTTCAAATTAGCATATTTAGAACTATCTAATTTTTTAAACTATTTTTTTAATTGACAAATAAATACATAACAGAAGGGAAGTGAGAGACAGCTGGCTTTAGACAAATATGAAATTATCACTGTAAAAGGCTAATTATCTTTCCTCTGGAAGGAGGAAGATTAGATGCAGAAAACACATTTCATTTTCTCTCTCTCTCTCTCTCTCACACACACACACACGAAAGAATTATTATAGCTGGTTTAAACAATAACTTGGCTCCTTAACAATTTTTGTGTGTGTGTGTGTGTGTGTGAGGAAGAGTAGCCCTGAGCTAACATCTGTTGCCAATCCTCCTCTTTTTACTGAGGAAAATTGGCCCTGGGCTAACACCCGTGCCTATCTGCCTCCATTTTATATGTGGGACACCTGCCACAGCATGGCTTGATAAGTGGTGTGTAGGTCCCCGCCTGGGATCCAAACCTGCAAACCCCTGGCCGTGGAAGCAGAAGGTGAGAACCTAACCACTATGCCCCTGGGCTGGCCCTGTCCTTGACAATTTTATCAGGCCATACCACTAAACAGCCAGCACTTACTAACCCCCCAAAGTACAGCAATGGAGGAGAGATGGTCTTTTCCACTGAACAAAGGGATCTCTCTCATTTAGATCAACGTGACAGTCTCCTGAGGGACTTTCCCCCTGTTCGTTCTAGATGCTTCTCAAATGAACAATTTTATATATGTCAAATGCTCCAAATGGTTGTTTCAACTTCCAGTTGTCCTTGATGAAGTTATGGGAGGAGGTAGCACAAGTTTACTGGCAGACAAATCCATGAGAAATTGGCTGACAATTCATCAAATGTAAAAATCGCTGTGGGCCCTTAACTACCTGCCTGCTGACCTAAGAAATTAGCAGCCTCCTGGCAGGAGGAATATGTATTTTTAAAAATCTGTCCTTTGGGAGATTTCTCATACACAAACAAGACTGAGGAAAGTTCTCATAGACAAACAACATGTAAGACTGTGGACGAGTATACAGGAGACGATGTTAAAAGTCAAATTTCACCAGAGGACACTAGAGTCTAATCAGAACCCCAAATCTCAGAGCCAAATACCTAACCTGACATTGAAGGCCAAATCGATAATCAGAGTTGAGTCATTTACCGTCATTATCTGTGTTATGTTCAACTATGTGAACACATTTCCTCACATTCATTGATTTCAGGGCTGGAAGAACCCTTAGTGATCATCTCTTTTAATAAATAAGGCAACTGAGACTAAAAGAGATTAAGCGACTTGATTGAGATCACACAGAACTGGCTAGAACCTAATGCCCTAGTGAATATACTTAATATAAACATACCATACACGTAAAAGAAGATATATAATATGCATAATGGTCATTCATGTTTAAAAAACAGAACAGCATCACATAAACTTTCCACTAAAACCTCAGTGACACCATTCATTCCTTGAATTAGGAAGCTGGTAGAGAATGATGAAGGCTGGCAGGGCCCCAGGCCAAGGATGGGGAGGCCAGCCAGGGAGTGGAGAAGCTACAGGCGCAGCAGGCAGGCAAGCAGGGTCTAAGGTTCAAGAAGTCCATAGCAGGAACAAGGCAAGGCAGCTGTGGCGGGAGACTGGGGACGAGATGTCTGCCAGGGACAGCATATTTACTCTTGTCACTCATTCTGCTCAGCCAGGCCAGGACTCTACCTACCCCAAAGCCAAACATCCATTTCGAGCAAGAGGGAGACAGCAGTGTGCATCTGGGTCAGACCGATTCCAGGAGCATCTTTCCTTCAGGTTTTCTCTCTCCTAAGGACTCTGCTTGTTAACTCTGGATTTACAGGTAACAACTGCATACAATGGTATTAGTTAATGACTGACTGCTGTTTTCTGGCAGATTATTCCAATTAATTTCACTTAAAACAGTGGTGCTTAATCCTGGCTGCACATTAGAATCCTCTGGGGAGCTTAGAAACAAAGAAATACTGATACCAGAGCCCTAATTAAATTCTGGTTTAAGTGGTCTGAGGTCCAAGCACTGGTATGTTTGAAAAACTCCCCAGGTGATTCTATTAGGTAGCCAGGGTTGGAACCACTGATTTAAAACATCAGGGAAAGTTTCAGTCAACTAATCATTTTTTTTGTGTGTGAGGAAGATCAGCCCTGAGCTAACATCCATGCCAATACCTCCTCTTTTTGCTGAGGAAGACTGGCCCTGGGCTAACATCTATGCCCATCTCCCTCCACTTTATGTGGGACACTGCCACAGCATGGCTTGCCAAGCGGTGAGTCCCTGCGTGCCCAGGATCTGAACCTGGGCCGCCAGCAGCTGAGCATGCGCACTTAACTGCTACGCCATGGGGCCGGCCCCTAATCAATTGTTTTGAAACAGTTATAATAGCATTGTTTTCTTCACCTCTGGCAATGTGTTTCATTACAAAATCATGAAGTAATTTGCATAACATACTGTTTTCACGGGACTTTCTCACTATCCATTTTTTTGCAAAAGAAAGTCAACATATGGCTGAATTCAAGAATAAATCTGAAACTGATGGTTCCACTGAACCTTCTTATCACCTTCTTATCTCCATTATCTTCTGTGTCCAAGTCCTATCACAAAGATTTGATATAGCAATCACTGCTCTTGAGCTTTATGTTGAAGTGTCTGGGCAGCCCAGAAGGCGTGGTACTTAGAGATTCCAGGACATTTTGTCATCATGGGACCTTTTGTGCTATGGAAATTCAACAGAGAAATCAGTGTGGGCTGGAATAATTAGTAATGTGGAACTCCTTCCTGCTTTTGGGCCTTCTCACTTTTCTCTAAGCAGGTTAAAAGTACTGCCTCCCTTTTCTCGTCTCCTACCCTGTATTTTTTCTTTCCTTCTAAGGCATTAGAAAAGGCAGGAGATAGGAGTAGAAAGACTCATTGATTTATAAAACGGGGAGTGTAATTACAGGTCACTTAGTTCAACCACCATCTGAGACCAAGAGACTTTCCCAGGATCACACAGCTAGATCACACCTGGAGCTGGGCGCCTGACTCCCAAACCCCATTCTCTTCCAAGATCCCACCTGGCCTTTCAAGATAGCTCAGAGATACGCGGGAGGACTTCCTCCTTCCACGAGAGGTTCTCCGGCCATCTTATACTCCGCAGACTAGATCCCTTCCACTTCATTGACTTATTTTATGAAGTCTTCCCAGACGCGTCCTGCTTAATTTGGGACACAACAGCTTCTGAACTTTGCTCCCTTCCTCCTCGCTATTTAGAGCCCTGTGCTGCTAATGCTTGTGTATTTTCTATTGTTACATCTCCTCGTTGATGTGCATTTATTGAATGCCTGCTGTTGTCAAGCGTCACAGGGTTCTAAGAGGAAATACCGAAACAAGAAGACGCCTCCGCTCGGAGGAGAGCCTGGCCGAGAGCCCCGCAACCAGCCCCTTGGTCGCACTTCCTGCCTCGCTTTTTCTGCTTCTCCGCGGGCAGCTCAACCCGGGTAGGAGGGGTTTCACGTTGCATTTACGGAGTCGGCCTGGCTTCTCCCAGGGCTGGTGACAGGAACGAACAACCCCCAGCATGGGAGGGGAGGCCTCATGAGTAGGCTTCTGCTCCAAAGGCCGCACTGGAAGAGGACGGCCAGCCTGAGTCAGCCGCGGCGGGCTCCGCGCCGAGTCCCCGCTGGTGAGAAGGCGCGCCCGGCTGGGGGAGGGGCCTGGGAAGAGCCGGGCTGGGGGGAGAAGAGGGAGGAGGAAGAGCCGAGGGGAGGAGCCGCAAGTGAAACCCGGGAGAAGCTGGAGAAGGCGGCAGGAAAGGGAGCAGACAGGGGAGAGGGAGGGGGCGGAGCAGGGGG